CCAGTCTCATGAAAAAGCGTGTTTTCTGCAGTCTATCTAATAGGTCTCGAATTAATGGTAGTGGATAATGTTGTTACTGTGAGACCATTATGTTTAAAGCCTTGTAATTATGGATCACTCTCAGTGAGGGGTTCTCACTATTATTAGACCCATTGGGGTTTTACTTCTTGGGTACAAAGAAGGTAGAAACCAAGGCAGGAGACTGGGAAGGTGTCAGGATAATTATTTAAAGGCTAAACAGCTCATGTAATGATGTAATGTAATGTAAGGTGGATAATGCAATCATAAGGATGATTCAGCAGGTGTGCGTATCCCTTTAACAGCCTGAGTATAAAAGGGAAGGCTTTTAATGCTGTGTTTTGTCCGTTTTCTGCTGTAATTGTTGTGTATTGGAGTTCGCTGAATTATCATGTGTATGTATTTTGTTTCTAGTATATTTGTAGATATTGTAGTATAAACCACAATTTAATATAGTTTACTGTGTTTTCTCCTGAGTTACCTCTGCACAATAAGACTGTGCATGCTCTGACAGGTCTTTTGCAAATTAAGAGTCCAAATGTTGTTTTAAAGTTTCTAATTCTGTACAGGTAGTTGAGTTATGACCACAATAGAGCTCAACATTTTTGTTGCTAAGTGAAACATTTGTTAAGTTCTGCCGTTTTATGATTTTTCTTGCCACAGTTAAGTGAATCACTGCGCTTGTTAATTTAATAACATGGTTAAGTGAATCTGGCTTTTCCATTGACTTTGATAGGTCACAAAAGGTGGGATCACATGACCCTAGGACACTGCAATTGTCATAAATATGAGCCAATTGCTAAGCAGCTGAATTTTGATCATGTGATCATGGGGATACTGCAATGGTCATGTGTGAAAAATAGTCACTTTTTTCAGTGCTGTTGTAACTTTGAATGGTCACTAAATGAACTGTCGTAAGTTGAGGATTACCTGCAGTAAATTTTTGGTATTGTCTCCTGGCAGGAACTTTGGTACCAGGACCAAATTTATGGTGCAATTGCAATTTCTGTGTGGAGAGAAGGCCCAGGCTTCCTCCTCTCTGAAAACATCAGCGGTCTCAGTATTTACTTGGCAGATTGGGAATCTTTCTGTGAACTTTTAGGGAGGGCTGGTGAGGGGCTTTGGAGGGCTGATCCGTGAGAAAGGCATCCAGGATTTTCAAAGGAAATAGACCAGTCTTTCCACCTAATAGTAGGGTTGTGATGTTGTAACCAAGTGGTTCCCAGCACTAGTGGAAGATCAATATATTCAGCTACAAAGAAGGTTAAGTTTTCAGACTGCTGATTTACTGTTAACTTCAAAGGCACTATGGCATGAGTAATGGGGCCTGCTTTTAAAATTCAACCACCATAGCAATGGAGTCTTCAGGGAAACTATAGGGATCTTAAGTTTCTGGATGTAACTACATTTATAAAGTAGAAGTTGACCCAGAATCTATCAAAACAGGGATGTTTCCTGACCTCTGGGAGGTGTCAGGATAGAATTAATTTTTATTTATGTTTGGAGGCAATTGAGCTCTGTTCAGTGCTTGGGTGCCTCATCCCATGAGTTTATGGAGGGGGGACATTTCTCTGGCCTTGGGGCTTGTCCAGGTGGTGGATAGTGAAGACATTGCCAGGCTGTCTGTTGCCTCTCCTGGGAGGTTTAGTTGGACAATTCTTGACCAGGCTCTCCACAGTAGAAACAACCTCTCTGCCCCTTTGCTGTTCTTCAGCTGCTGGGGCTTGCCTGAGTGCTCCAGTTTGCATTGGCTCTTCAGCTTCTAAATCGAAGAGGGCAGGGAGGCTAGGTGTAGTGACAGGGGAAGTCAGCTTTGGAAGCGGTTGGCTAGGGCTCCCAAAAATGCTTCAAGTTCAGCGAGTCAAGACTCAGCTGTTCTAGTGGCTAGGCAGAGGTCTTATAGATACTGGGGAATACCTTGTTGTATCAGTTATGTGATTATGGCCTTGTTAAACTCCTTCTTGAATTGTCTTCTTAAGGCTGACTCAATTAACTCCAGATCTGCTGCAATGAGTTTGAAATCTTCAGGGTATGCTATCATGGAATTATTGCCCTGGCAGAGTTGGAAAATGTGTTGTTTGGCGGTTTCTATCTGAATAGTCTCCAAAGTGCTCTCTAAATCTAGTGAGAAAGTTCGGGTAACTATCTAGGATGGGATCACTGGTTTTGATCAACGGAAATGCCCATTTAACAGCGAAGTCAATTAAAAGAGTGAGGAAGAAGGAGACTCTTGATCTCTCTATTGGAAACTCCCCAGGTTGGGTGCTGATGAACACATTGCAGTGTGCTAGGAATGTTCTCATCTTATCAGGCTCACCAGTGAATTTTTGTGATAGGCAGCCAGGCGACGTGAGGTTGCGTATAGCCGGAACAGGTAGTTGTGCCTGGATAGGTGAAGCAGGTGGTTGTGGTTTCAGAGGAATGCCTTGTTGAGTTCGGATTTGCATTTGCTGTATCATTTGTTGAAAACTGGCTGCAAGATTCCTGATTTCGTTTTCAGTTGCATTTTGGCGTCTTCTGGCAGATTGGAGGCCTGCTTGTCTGCTATTGCTGCAGCATTGGAATCTGAGATCATGGCCAGGGTATTCCGGAACCTGTGAAAATTTTTGGTGAAGGTGAGTAATGTCAAGTGCCAGGGAAATCAGGAGTTTCAGGCAGTTTAAATGAGTATAAAGATTTATTGCTGTCTATAAGAATCTGAGCTACTAACAGTCAAGGGAAATTAGCAGGAGTTAAGAAAGATTCAAATTGGGCTGGACCTAGATCTCTTGGTGGGTGTGCAGGGACTCATGACTGATGACGCATTTGACCTCTCCCTTGGGCTCAGCTGGTCATCTCCTACAACTGCATTGCTTGACAATGAAAATTCTAGCACTCCTGATTGTCATTGTTAAGCAAGTATCATGAGTTGCTAAGTGAGAACCTCCTTTCAGTTTCCGGTCAACTGTGAAGGCAATTCATATGTAGGTTGGTGGGCAGATATGTAGTTGCTGTCCAGTAGTGCTGGATGACTGATCAAGTGTAGTGTGAGAGCAGGGTTGCCTCCCACTGAGCAAGGGAAAGTGGCTGGATGGAAGGCAGCTGCCCATAGGTGCAGCAGGTCCAAAGGTGATTGTTGCTGAGTGGGAGAGGGTATGAGTGACTTACTGGAGTGACTTGCAACCTGCCTTGCTGGATTCCTCATTGATTTTGCTTGTTGGAAGCTCGTAGAAAAAACTATGAAATGCTGTAATTTCTTTAGTTACAAAAAGTAGACATTTATTAGGTTTGATTCCTTATTTGAGATTAGAGAGAGTCCTTGAATTACAATGGTAATTAAAATTATAATTTTCATTGCTAAATGATGTGGTTGTAATCTGCAATGTCACATGACCACAATTCCTATAGTTCCCATTGCCACTGCTAAATGAGTACCTTTTTGCAAGCTCTTGACAGTTTCTAAAATCAAAATTAATAGGGAAACCAAGAGGAAGTTGCAAATCTCGGGTACCTTACAAGCAGGCCAGCAGGCAGGTGGCTACTGCTGGGTGAGAGAGGGAGTGAGGGGGTGCACAGTGACCAGGAAGATGCTATACAGCTATGATGGGGTTTGAAGTGGTTGCTACTGGGTGGGAGAGGGTGTACACATGGCCAAGGAAAGTGTATGGCTGGCTGGAAGTCATAAGAGTAATGGGTCTTGGGATGGCTGCTGTTGGGGGGAAGGTGCATGAGGGTGCACAAGTAGCTGGGGAAAATACATGAATGGCTGCAGTGGCATGGTACAAGCACAACAAAGCTCTAGGAGGATGCATAGACTTACCCAACCAATTTGAAACCTTCCCTGTCAGCTTGACTTTGCTTGTGGCAAGTCAATAGGGAAGGTCACAAATAGAGATCACATGACTGCAAGATGTTGCAGCTAGTTGCTGGTTGCCAAATGGCCAGATTGCTATCATATGACCAAAGGGGTGCTGGGATGGCCAGAACTTCAAAGACCAGTCATAATCATCTCTTGTTCAGTAGACGTAATTTCAAATGGTCACTGAATGAGTGCTTGTTAACTGAGGACTTCCAGTTTTAGATTACAAATAGTATATAAGTTCTTAAAAGTTTTCTAGAATTTTTGACTTGAGTATTGCTTATATTCAACCTTCTCTCACAGATGGCTTTAACCATGGGGTCAAGGATCCAGGGATACATGTATCCAGGGATACAATCAACATTGTAGATGGCTGTGTCCAATAATAGGATCAATATGATACCAGCTTATTTCAAAAGCTGGAAGTCAGCTCATCTGGATTCTGAGTGACTTTGCCCACCAAATGTGTCAAAAAAAATATGGTTTTGGTGAAGATCTTCACCAAGTCACCTTATAAAAGGTTGCTGGATAGCATTCAGTGATGCAATTGGGACAGCAAACTATTTATTTTTGCCTCTTAAACGGTCAGTGTGTAGCTCAGGCTTGAACTCTTACCAATGTTGGGTCAGGCTTGAGGCAAATCCTTCTCCAGCAGCATTCCAGACATCTACCCACATTATTTCTCTGAGGTCCTCATCTGTCGGGTAGCATATTTCGGACTAACAGTTTTATTAAAAATTATAAGCTTTCTTGAACTTCATCAGATGCGTGGAATGGTTAACCCAGAGCTTTTCCAGGATCGAGAGCACGTGCAAGTATAACAAGGAATCCAGCAAGTTATCTCATGCGACATGCAATAGACTGACCCTTCACTACAGGGTCAGTTTAGCCACTCCGGAGGAGGCCTCACGTCCAAACAGCGCTCCAGCCCCTTCCTTTTGTCCTAACCCCTTCCTTTTCTCCCGCCCTGAGGAGCCAACTTAGAGCCTCTTTGCAGGCCTCTTCCCATGTCTTGTGGCTGTTCTGCTTCATGACGCGCTGTATTGCGATCGCCCATTGGCCGGGCCCCGTCCTGGGTTCTCCCTCGTGGGACTCACGGAGGGAGGAGCGGAACCGGCGTGGCGAGCGGAGCATGCGTAATAGCAAGGCAGTCCCCTTTCTGGCCACGTCTGCCGGGTTGTGTAGCTGCGGCGCAGAAGTACCAGCTGTTCTGGGTTAAACTCAGCCTTGGAGAGGGGATGAGGGAGAATCCTCAGGGCGCTCTATGCTGCCACGCACGCCCCTCGACGGGGCTGCGTTGGCCGCAGCTGCTGGTGCTTGGTTTGCTCATACCATTCGCCTTCGCCTGGGAGACCGGCGACTTGGAGCTCTTCGACCTCGTGGAGGAAGTCCCGCAAAACTTCTATGCTTTCCTCGGCGTTGAGCAGGTGAAGAGAGAAGCGCGTCTGGGCCGTTCTTGGCTTTAGGCTGGGCCTTGGAAGTTGCTTCGAATCCCGGGGCGCATAAAGCCACCGTAGAGACCAAAGCGGGTTCTGGGGCTTCTTCGCGGGGACTTCTCCGCGGGACATGGCCTGCAATGTCTGGTATTAAACCACAGACTTGGGGTTTCTTGTGACAGAGAACGGGATTTTTAAAGTTGCTTTTTAACAGGCTGAACAATAAGTCTTCTGTGACTTTTCATAGCTAACGTGCTCTACTTTGAACACTATTGAAAGTGTTGCTGCCTTGAAGAAGGCCAGTGTTTAGTAGGTAGATGTCCTAGTTTTTCCTCTTTACATTTCCATTCACTGTATCCTTGATTTCTTGCTATTCAAACTGTCAGTGGTATCGCTGGTATTGCTAAATGCAACATTATCCCTTTTTCTTGGATACTGTGACCAAGTACAGATAGTCCTCAACTTACGACCATAATGAGCCCAAGATTTTTGTTGTTAAGTGAGTTTTGCTACATTTAGTGACCTTTCTTGCTACAGTTAAGTGAATCACTGCAGTGGATAAGTTAGTAACCTGGTTAAGTGAATCTGGCTTCCCCATTGACTTTGTTCGTCAGAAGGTCGCAAAAGGTGATCACATGACCTTTAGACATAGTAACGGTCATAAGTATGAACCAATTGCCAAGCCTCTGAATTTTGATCACATGATCATGGGAATGCTGCAAAGGTCCTAACTTAGACATGTCAAACTTGTGACATCATGTGATGTCACGTGATATATCGGAGCTTTTCCCCCATTGCTGGCAATGAGGTGGGTGTGGTTTTGTTGTGATGTATCCAGCCTGGAGGCCGGCAGTTTGACACCCCTGTCCTAACAGAAAAACAGTCAAAAGTCACTTTTTTCAGTGCCATTGCAACTTTGAATAGTCACTAAATAGTTTTGCCACTTCTACATACATGTTAAAGTGTATGTATTTCATGTATTATCCCACAATTTTATTTATACATCACTGGGGTTTATGCAGTTTATAATGTATAATGAAGTACAAAAATATAGTCATGTAAAACATAAACATAAATAAGGATGATATCTTTGTTCTTCAATGACTCTGCTCACTATTAGCAAAGGGGAAGGGGAATAATATTAATTATATTACTAATTATATTAATAATATTGCCCATCCATTGAGAACAACTTCGAAGGCTGGTCTCCAGAATTATCAAATGATACTTGCATCTAATACCTTTCCTGTTATCCTGTTTTGTAATTATCTTGAACAGAGGTGCCCAACTTATGGGCCATGGCCCACTACCGGGCCGTGGCCTCTTGGCCACTGGGCTGTGTGAGTGGCTGGTCATGTGTGCGCGTTCACCTCCCCTTGTGCTGGTGCTAGTCAAGCTGTGAGTCTTGTGCCGATGCTAGCCGAGCCACAAGCCGTGAGCCTCGCATCAGTGCTAGCCAAGCTGTGAACCAATGCTAGTAGCCCCATTTGTGGAGCGCGCATGCTCATGGCCCCGTTCACACACACATACGCAGCCACATTTGCGTATGTGCATATGTGCGCATAAAAGTGCCTGCTCCTCCCTTTCTCACTGGGCCGCCAACCCAGAAAGGTTGGGGACCCCCATCTAGAATTTCTTGTTCACAGTTGCCTTCTCTTTTGAAGTCTTGATATTAGGTTTAATGATTTCTTTTGTTTTCATGCCTGGTTTTCATAGATAGTGGAATTGTTGCTGATTGGATATGGTTTCATTGATTTTATTTTTGATTTGATATTCTGCTGCTGTTTTGTTTATCTTGACTACAGGTTACCATAGTCTGAAAACTGAATATAAATAAACACGTAAGGTATGTGAAAGCTTTGGACCTTAGTTGATGGTGAAACTGAAAGTTAAAAGATTAAGGATTAACTAAATAGTGTTGAAGTTAGGGCTTACTGCTCTGAAATAGATTTGTTATGTTGATATTTCTTAAAGAAGGAGATAGGAAAAACTTCATCCAAATACTATGCCAATTTGTGAAAACTACCAGTTCTTAATGTCTAAATTAGGAGGATTTTTTTTAGTGAATTTTATAGTTTGAAGTATTAGTATGAAACTGGAATTCTTGACAGATAACCAGTAAACTTAATCCAAAACTGAATTAAAACACAAATCAACCTTTATTCTCTTTCCTTTTCCTTTTTTAAAATAAAATGTTTTATTGATTTTTAAGAATTACAGTCTTTAGTGCTTAGTAAACAATATGTTGTCTGGATTCACATATTTAACATTAACTTTGTTAATATAAATCTGTTCAGTTCTAAACAATCCAATATTTTTTCCCTGATCCTCCTTTTGTCCCCATATTTTTTCCATTTCCCCCTCATTACACAGTTACAATTTTTAGTACTATTGATGTATACAAAGTTAGATATAAGCATCTTCATTATATTCTACTAATATTATAAAAATAACAATAATATCAACTGATAAATCAATATCCTGTTTTTCATGCTCTTGTTAAGGTTTAATTTCCCATCAGTATTTAAAATATCTTTGTCAGTTATGATTTTCTCAAGAATAATTACATTTATATAGCTAACATTTTATTCATACTAATACTCTTATTTTCATATTTCCCGTATCAAAAAAAAGAAGAAGAAAAATGCTATTTTAATTCTAAATCATATATTTCATTATAAAAGTCTAATTATATCTAAAGGTCATCTGTTCTTTTAATCTTATTCAAACAAGTATTTAAACATAATGCCCCCTCTAAAAAGATCAAATCTTCTGTTTTTTTAAATCTAACTCTCGCTTTCTTTCTTTGCCAAGTAGCTTTCCAAGCCAAGGCAATTAAATCGCCCAGGAATTTTCTTTCTATTTTTGTGAAAATTGCTTAGCATGAGGAAGACAATTTAGATAGGATATTTTTTTTGGGGGGGGGGGAATTCCACCTATTTATATTCCTTAAGCAACTCCCACTTTCCTTCTCCCTCAGTTTCTCTTTTCATTCTCTGTCTCCCAAATTGTGACATTTCCCCTAATAGCTCTACATTCCATTTTTTAAAATCTTCTACCTTATCTTACTGTATTTTGCAGACCTAAGGAGTAAAGAGTCTTTTGCATTTTCATTGTTATGGCTGAGTCTTGCAGTATTTTGTTTGTATATAGCCTTTTATATTTCCCTTCTTTTATCTCTTCTGTCTCTAAATCCATTTCCTCTGCTTTGTCTTCTGATTTCTGGTTTATTTGTTCATACTTTGTAGTTGTTGTCTGAGGACTTTCTTTTTTCCCCCCATATATTTTATTGATTTTTTTAAACATACATCACAATAATTGGTAAACAGTGTGCTGGGTTTACATTTGTAAAGAAAAATCATTAATAATTGGTTTCTATAATCCATAATCCATATAGTACATTTAGTTGATTTCCCCTTTCCCCCAAAATGTCTTCTTTGCAAACCTTGAATTAAAACAGTTCTTATTATTTTGATAAATAACAGTTACATATATGATTTTTCCCAATATTCCTAGAAATAATGATCACATCAATATAATATTTCTTTTCTATCTAATCATTCTGATTGCCTCATCCTGTTATGGTTCTTATTTAGATTTGTTTTTCCCACAAAGTTCAGAGTATTCTTGCTAGTTAAGTTCAAAAGTTAATTACATTTAATTACATTTAAGGATTAGTGAGTCCATTTTTCCCATATAAACCATCTCAACACTTTTATATTATAGATGTTGAGGCTCTAGAAAGAGTACAGAGAAGAGCAACAAAGATGATTAGGGGACTGGATGCTAAAACATATAAGGAACGGTTGCTAGAATTGGGTATGTCTAGTTTAACGAAGAGAAGGACAAGGGGGGACATGATAGCAGTATTCCAATATCTCAGGGGTTGCCAAAAAGAAGAGGGAATCAAGCTCTTCTCCAAAGCACCTGAAGGCAAGACAAGAAGCAATGGGTGGAAACTAATCAAGGAGAGAAGCCACCTAGAACTAAGGAGAAACTTCCCGACAGTGAGAACAATTAACCAGTGGAACCACCTGCCTCCAGAAGCAGTAAATGCTCCAACACTGGAAGTTTTTAAGAAGAGACTGGACAGCCATTTGTCCGAAATGGTGTAGGGTTTCCTGCCTGAGCAGGGGGTTGGTCTAGATGACCTCCAAAGTCCCTTCCAACTTTACTATATTATTATTATTATTATTATTATTATTATTATTATTATTATTATTATTATTATTATTATTATATTTCTTAAAGAATAGGTAAAAACAATAAACAAAAGGAAAAGAAAGCAAGAGTAAAGAAACATAAAAAGTAAAATACTATTTAAAATATATATTCCTCCTAAGCTAATATATATTTATTCCCAAAATTTCTTATTCTTTTTAACCATAATTAAAAATATATTTAATCTTTAAATATTCCATTTAATGTGTCTAGTCATCTAATCCTTTAACTTTTATTCAAAACATTTTTTCTTTTTTATATCTTATAATTTCCCTAAATTAAAACACATTTAATTATCTAAAACATTTCCTTCATCTAAGCCATTTCAACAGTATTATATTATAAAATAAAAATAAAATAAAAAGGAGAAAAAAAGCATACAGTATTATTTAAGGAACATCCTTCTTAGAATGACATATGTATTCAAAATCTTTTCTATTTTTTTAACCATATTCAAACAAATGTTTCTTTTTTAAATATTCTCTCTGGTAGATCCCATCATCTATTTTCTTAATTTTCACTTTAATCTTTTTCCTTTGACCAGTATCTTTCTTGGTCAATCTGTTTTGCTGAATCAAAAAGTTTTTTCATATATTCATGACTGTTGCTGTAGGTATAAGAAGTATATCGAATAAAATGTCTTTATATGAGGCTTTTGCCTTTCCATGTTTCTTGAAAATCTTTTTTTCTTCTTTTCCGCTTCTCTTATCACTTCCTTTCTCTCTGATGTTTTCAAGATCTCTAAATTCCATTTTATCCAATCTGTTTTT